GGAGATATGAATGTAGTTGAAATCAAGCCCATACATATGGAGAAAATTTGGACTATTTGAAAAGGGAGTGTGAGGCCTACAAACATACCGACCTTTAGCTATCTTTGAATGTATTTTTTAATTCTTCTGCAGGTTTGTTTGTGAGTGAAATCCTCCTAAATGTTTGTACGGATTTTAACGAAACTTGTTGTGTGTTTGAGTGGGTCTGTGGACGGTTTAGTTTCACAATTTAATCCGACTGTTGGCGCTGTAGTTGAGTTATTACTACAAATCTTATTTATGATCCGATTTGGCTAATGTTTTAAATATGTATGCAATACTATTGCAAAAACGTGCTGCCAAGTGGTGCTGAAGTCGAGCTATTACTAAAAAATAGCCAAGTGAGAAAAGGGGCCGTGAAGGTCAGATTAAAACGACCTGTTGCACCATTGACTATATCGAACGCTCTTGCGTTGCGATTGGCCCAATGGATGTGATTTTCCAATATTTTTATGCGTTCAAACTTTTAAGGTATTTCGTCTGAAATAAGTATATGTATATTGCATTTTAGTAGAACAATGATTCGCACCCATTTTGAAATTGCAACCAACTATACTGTAAAGCTTCTAGGACATTCACTATGGAACCGGGTCATTGTTGCCGCCAGGGAGTGAAGAGGAAAAAATTTATTTCGCTTTGCGAATAACCGTGCTATGAAATGCCGCACAACTGGAGAATTTCGAGAACTTCTTCCCGGATATAACACTTTCCATAAGCGGCAAATGACCACCAAACCATAATCTTAGTAGACGAATGTGCCAATGAAAATCGTAAGCGTGAATTGTAGGTGAAAATGTTGGACCAAATAGTTTCAATAAAATATATAAAAATTTTGGGCGGGACGAAGTTCGCCGGGTTTGCGGGTGTCAAATAAAGGTACTTATACATCAAAGTCGCACCTTTAGTGAAGGTTACGTAATAGTTACTCGCTATAGGTTTCCGTCTCCGTTTCTGTTACTTTGGTGCTAGTTGGGACTGCTTTAAAAATTTATGCAATTTAAAAAAAAAAATCAATAAATTTTCGTAAAAATTTCGTGTTTTTAATTAGATTCTGAGTATGCAGTTTTGTAGCCCATTGAATTCTAGTGTAATAAAGTATAAGTTTCAAATGGCTAACAATTACGGTTCTTTAGAATTTTTAAAAAAGCTCGATATTGTACGACAGTTTGTTGAATAAACTATATTTTTATAAAAAAAAATAACCAAAATTAAATAACAGCAAAAATAATATGTATGTTAAAACTTGGCAAAAAGTGGTTCGCCTATAATTTTTTCGACTACTGTCCATAAGTTGACTATGATTTGACTTACAAACAAAACACCAGCACGGATTTCAAAATTTCAACCCTGTTTGTGTGAAATATTTTATTTATATCGGTATTTTTCTTTTAATCAAACTACGTTGAAATAAAAGTGAAAATAAAAAATAATATTTTGTTGTTAATTTGCCAACCAGCTGTTTTTTAAGGGCTTGTAAAGAATTCTAAGAAAAAATCTTTTTTATGACGTTCTTCCCGCAAGCGTGCGATATTTATGCATTTTTTTCTTAACACCCAGTATAATATTTTCCGATGATTTCTCTTATTTACCCTTCACAAACATATCCATATATACATATATATATGTACATACATGCAATGACTCTCTTAAGCCGTTGGGTAGTGGTTGCTCTTTAGAAAATGTCTTGCTTACTGCTGCCTGCGTGAAAACAACCAAAGCAGCATTTGAGCAAATGGTATACATATCGTCGTTTAAACTACAAAACCGCGTATCAACAAAATGCAAAACCGTGTATCAATATAATGCAAAATCTATAGAGTAAAAACACTCGTATTTCAATACGGTTCTCCTTTTTTTAAAGCAATCGCATTTCTGGCTAGTATATAATAAGGATTGAGCCAAGAGCTTGTGTGAGCAAGTCCAATTTTTGGCAGCGAATATCAGTTACGCGCTTTTGCAGAATGACAATACGCGGTTTTATACTTTAAACGCCGATATATATGTATATACGTAGGTAGAAACATATATAAGCTTGTATATATGTATATACATATATATGTATGTATGCACACCAGGGCGTAGGCAGGAACTATTGTACATAGGTGTCAAATTAATATACCAATAAAAAAATTGTTATTCAATCAATTTTTATTCTAGTAACAAACGCCTTTGAGTTTTAGCAAGCTCTTCAATTACTTCTCAATCATCATGCGGTTTTCGTTAGTCCATAAAATCTTTCCTCTCCTTATGGTCGTGCTTCGGGGTATTCAGTTAGTGTTCCACCAATATATGTACTCAATCCCGACTCTTGCGTTGCCGTTCGCGTACTTTGGGATCATTGGATCGAGATTAAGTATCCAACTCTTGTATAACTTTGGTTCCCGGCAGAAAGAGAGGAGGTTTCGATGGGGTCAGTCGTTTAAGTATTAATAAATTCAGCGTCATCTATTCAGCTTTATATTCGGCTACATGCGGGCGTCTCTTGTCTTGGAGCAATCAGCTAGCTATGTAAATAAGCATCTTAAAAAGCTCTCCCAGAAATGGATTGTGCACTGGGTTTTGGACTCGTAAAGTAAAAAAACGGATCCAATGGAAAACCCAAAACAGCCTCTGTTAATTGCCCCCAATTACTGACGACCCACCACACGAAACAAGGACTACGCTTTACGGATATGCGCTTTTAATAGCCCCTCCATAGGAAAGGCGCCTTAATCTAACTGCCGGGTTTCTTACAGAATACCAGTACAGAAATTGCGACAGACGGGGCTTGATTGTAAAAAATTTGCAGCGTGCGACATCTATTACAGCTGCCATGAGATTGGTGTAGTTGTGCGGAGGCCTCGACAACTTGTGCCTAGGTTCACTTCTATCTGTGAACGAATTGCCACAACCCGCAAGAAAGCTTAACATATTTGGTCCAACAGTCGTAAATTGCAGTTTTTATGACAATACCTCAGACCACGAAGAGAGGTTTACCGATTTTTCCGCGGTTCAGGACATGGTAGTTATTTAGTAGGTAGTACCACACACCAGCAACGAAACATCCATAAAACCATTTGGGTAACATTGTGATAGGCGCCGAAAAGCTATAGCCTCAAATGAAACCCGAGAACTTTCGCAATAGACTCTGAATCCTGCTTCAAAAAGATATTTCTCATCAATTGGGTATGCATAAATGAGCATTGGGAATCGATCTACCAATCTTCGTACCGTTGCGTTTGGTTTCTTTCGCCCACAAAGAAACAGCGTAAAGGTAAGACGAAAAGTGCCTAGCAGCTACTGCAGGGAAATGTGGTAACAGAAAAAAGGGTGAAAGAGAGACTATTCTTAAATAGAAGAAAAGAAAAGCAGAAAGGCGCGAGTGTGAGCAGATTGACATTATGCCAGGCAGGCAAGTTTGACGATGAAGAACGTTGTGCTTGCTTCAATGTATCAAAGCAGAAAAACACCGGCATTAAGTGCAAATTGAGAGCATAGTTACGAGCTTGACTACGTACACAATTTTATATTTTTTGTTTATTATAAATTTTTTAAGTTCGACTTAGTCTTATAAGCTCCTCTCCCTGCCCCTACCTGGGTACGCCCTTGTACTATGTACATATCAGGGATGTGGCGAATATTTGCATTGGCATTCGTTATGCGAATGATTCGCATTATTTTACATCTTCGCATCAAATGATACGAATGTTTGGCGAATGCGAATGTCTACATGGGCAGAGAGTCCACTCTAATATTGTTGAAATGTCTCTAAGTCTGTCTAGCCAGGGTGCCGACAATAACTGGCTTTTAACTTCAGGCGCTAAACGGTTCAATATTATATCAAGCAACATTGATGGGCCTTCAAAAAGTACTGCTAAAAGTCTTATAAGCAACCTAGAAATAATTTGAGATTCCTCAAGCGAATGCGAAGGCTCGGATGTAGAGTCTGGAGACATTAAAAAATGTGAAATTAAAGCTCAATTGAAGGCCTATCTTAAAGAAAAAGGAGTTTATCTCGGTTAAAATCCTCTCGATTGGTGGAAAACTAAAGTAAAATACGACAAATTGACAGACCTGGTCTGCAAATATTTGAGCGCTCCACCCGCCAGCGTTCCAAGTGAGCAATTGTTCAGTGCAGCCACCCTTACATACGAGCCTCCAAAAAGTCGCCTGATGGGAGAAAAGGTAGAAAAATTACTTTTTTTTAAATATAATATGCCTCTTTTGAGCTTTGACTACTACAAACAAAAAAAAAACACTATAAAGGTTAACCACTCGTTCAATGTTCTAATAATTGACAAAATTTTTAAGTAATAAAATCGATGACTTATAGGCAATATAGACGGTGCGTCTGACTCGCGAGTCAACTGTGTACGTTTTGACTCGCCTTTCGACAACACACATTTGAGTCATTCAGAGTCATACCAGAGTCAGGTGGGTGTAACTTACACATATTCACATATCATTAACACATCCAAACCGACTCGCGAGTCAGACGCACCGCGTATGCCGCCTATTAAGTTGATTATAGCTTTTTTAATGTTAAATATTCCTAACATTCGCATTCCGAAAATTCGCGTCCGCGAATGTGAAAAATATGACATTCGAAACATCCCTAGTACATATGTACATACCGTATACGATCTTCAAAGAAGACACAACCCAAAATTACATGTTTGGCAGAAAATTCGAGAAACTGTATTTTAGCGCATGCTAATCATTTAGGCAAGGGAGACTTTACCTTAGGGGTTTTCAACAAATTATAACAAAAGTTTGCTCCAGCTTTTGCTGAAATATAAGTAAACGCTGTGTACATTTTTAGCGTACAATTTCAAAAATTCCAAATTTTGAATTGTGTCACTTTTGAAGATCGTGTGCGACACGGTCTCGGTAAATGCCTCATTATAGTGCTACTAAAATGAAACGGAGAGAAGGAACTATGTTGTCAGATATAGGTATACATACAAACATTTTCACACAAATATTACGCTGTTAGTTAAATGCTTTTGAAACAGACGTATTAACACACAAGTGCTTTGACAATGCGATGCGGAAAAACGTTAAAATAGCAGCAAATATACAGTGAAGATTGGTGAAAAGGAAAATACGACCAAGAAAATGGCAGAAGAAAATGGAAGTGCTGAAAACTCTTGAGAAAACTGGTAAAATAGAGAGCGGAGCGTCAATAACAGTGGACAAACCAAACAAACAACTAACTGCAATTTAGTATGTACATACATAAAGAACGTGACGAAAATAAAAAATAGAAATGATAAAAAGCAATAATAAAAAACAGAAACGCCACTTCTTTTGAAACAAATACAGCAGATTGCTTAACAAGGGACGAGCAATATTCAGCAAAAGCGAAACTTCAATAAAAATAAAACTACGAAAATAAAATTTAATTCAATAGAGGAGCAATCAAAGTGCAAATTAAGTGGAGGTTATTAACTAAGATTAAAGCAGGGTATCTCGTGGTAACATTTTGATAGGAAATGGGGCAAAAACTAACATTATGGGCCACATTCGGCATAGTGTTGCTTACCACACAATGGCTGGACGTGATTAGGTAAGTGACAATGGAAAAAACAAAACTGTCCATTTTAAAGAGGAGTACTTAAATGAGAAATAATGAAACATAAAGCAAATATTAAATCAATGTTAAGAAATAATAGATTAATGTATCAAAATTTGGGCAATTGCGAAATCAATTTCATAAAAAAGGGTGATAGAAGAAGTACGCAAATGTGCAAAGACTGCATAGACCAAGGCAATTTAGTCATATTCATACACACATACGCGTATACATAAGTATGTACACACACATACTATATGTTTACAGTATGTAAAAAGTATATTCGTTCACCAAAAATTTTATAATTTAAGTGATACCGTATTGACGAATCTGATTACATCAAAAGAAAAATTACTATTTTAATTAATATACAATGTATTCATATGCATACTTTCGTTTTTGAATGAAATACAAATCCAGCTAGCCAAATGCGGAGCGCTCCGAATATGGAGTGAAAAGGGACTCCCACAGCAGCAACTCGAAGGAGCATTTTCGGAGCGCTCCGAATATGGAGCGAAAAGGGACTTCCACATCAACACCTCGAAGGAGCATTTTCTGAATGATCCGAATACAGCAGAGTGAATAGGGAGCCAAAGTGTTTTTTTTTTATATTGGTTTTCCTTTCATTCCCAGGCAACAAGCGGAGTCCATAGGGTGCACAATTAGGACTCCCTGTGCGGTGCGCTTATGCTCCTAGGGAGGCTCTGAAAATAGTCCCAAAGGAGCATATCCGCCGAAGAAAAGTGCCTTCTCAGTATATATGAAATACAAATCTCACTCAGATAATCCGAAAAGACTCTACGGACTCCCCTATTCGCCTATGATTTTGTGAGAAGGACTCCTTAAATCATCCGAAGATAACTTAGACGGAGTGTGTTGGGAGTGCTCCGATAATAGACTTAAATGCTCCTAATTTAATTTGTAATTTAAATAATTGAAATTTTCCCCTCATTTCTTTTTATTAAAAAAACTTTAAATTAAAGAATATGATTGACTATATTAAATATTCAGTAAAAAAGGAAAAACTGTGAACTACTAAATAAAAAATCTTTTTTATTTTCTTAAGACGGAACCTCCATTGGATTCGTTGCCAGAACCAGATAATTTTGTAATAAATGCGCCTTTAAAACCCTTAATCTAGCCAAATGTATGCATTATTGCTTACCTCCGAATGCTATCGCAACTGCCATAACGTCAACAGCTTTTTTGCCTTCCCAGGAAAACTCTGAAGCGACGACCCCCTTCTTGGTTGAATTTGCATTGATTGAATTTTCATCTTACAAACTAGCTGCAAAGAAAAGAAGAACGAGATAAAAAACATATTTTGACTCCCTTTTCACTCCATATTCGAAGCGCTCCGAAAGCACTCATTCGAGGTGTTACTATGGGAGTCCTTACTACTCCACATTTGGAGCGCTCCGCCTTTGGCTATCTGGGTTGTATCTATGAAGATTTCAATCAACAAGCGAGTCGTCGCTTCCGAATGTTTTTGGAAAGGTATATCGCAAAAAAAGCTGTAAGGTAAGCAATAACGCATAAAAACTTAAGCTTAAAAACTGGCTAGCTCTAGAGCTTCTCAGGCGTATTTAAACGTTCTGAAATTATGGATAAAATTAAATTTGGAGAATCTTTAAAAACAATAAATAGGTCTATTATCGGATCACTCCCAAAATACTCCGTCTAGGTTATCTTCGGATGACTTAAGGAGCCCTTTTGACAAAATCGTGGGCGAAGAGGGAGAGAGAGATTTCTGGGTCTCCTATATAAGGAGTCCTAAACGCATATATAATGAGAAGGCACTTTTCTCTCGCGAATGGGCTCCTTTGGGACTCTCTTCAGAGCCTCCCTAGGAGCATCAGCACACCACACAGAGAGTCCTAACTGTGCACCCTGCGTAGTCCACTGCGAAAAGATGAAAATTGGCTCGTATGTGCATTAAGCAGGGATGTCAAAGTCGATGACTAGAATAACACTTTTCTGTGTGATTTTAGGTGCGTTCGTTTAAAATCTCCAGTAAAAACCAACATACTGCCAAATTCCGGCGAAATGTCATCTGTGCTCTCACAAGAGAAAAATATCCCAAATAGTACGCGAACAGAAAATTTGCAGGAACTTGCAAGTTAGACGAACAGCTGATATAATTTTTGTTTACATTCAAAAGTGTAAAATTTAAAACGTACGAAAAGTCATCACAAAGTGTTATACTGGCACAGTTTATTGATTAAACAAATAACTACTTATTTCTTACAAGTTTAATTAGCCGCATTTTGTAATTTTTAACTTCCAAACCATCAAATTCAATTTTGTGATTTGCGTAAATGCCAACCAGCTGTTTTTGATCAGCTGTTTTCCTGTTGGCAAATTGCTGTTGGCAAAATTTTTTCCAGCAGAAACCAGCAGCTTCCCCTCAAAATGAAATGTTACTTTGCTCTCTCGATTTCCCCTACTTTGTAAGTTTTTTGCGTACGCGAACGCAAAAACTTGTAAGTTTTGGTTAAACATGAACAATTAACAGCTACGCGAACGCAACTTTTATAAAGCTCAGGAGTACAGTGACCTTCTGGTGTTGATTGTCAAAACGGTCTAAGAGTTATAAGCAGAGACCGTACCAAGCAGAGTTGAGAACCATCCTTAGCTATGAGATGCCATATTTAGGATAAACAAATACCAAATAGAAAAATAAAAGTACCAAAAGGCTGCCATTCTTTTTCATCGGAAGATAATTATCGTTTATATGGCATCAATCACAATATGTTGTTGTTGTAGCGGCTACTCAGCCATGCCTAACCTGAGACCCAGGGAGTGTGCCACTCCGACTAGGAAGGTCCATAGAGGCAGGGGCTTTAGTCGAGTTGGGTTTAAGGGACATGCGAATAGGTGTTGCGAGTCATGAGTACGGTCACCATCCGTCCTTTATTTTAAAGGAGAGTCCTTTATTTTAACCCCGTGTCCTTTATAATTTTTTTCAAAATAAAGGACGCCTTTTGTCCTTTATTTCTCAAACTGTCCTTTAAATCGGCTCTGCATTATTCAGAGGTAAATTTTTAAACGCAGAATATGAAAATTAAAAGTATCCCTTACGAAATATAATGAAAACCTTCGCCAGTTTGTTTCGCACCCCACTTAAGGGTTTCTATTTAATCGGTAATCTTTGTACAATCTATAAAGCACAGGGAAAGTTGTGCGCAGGATCGTGTTGTACGCTGAGTTTCCAGTTCCACTGAAAGAGAACAATAAACCCTCTGATGCACATGGTTCAAAACTGACATTTAGTGTTCGTAATTCACTGAAGCCTTCATTTTTCACTTAATTTGGTTAATTTTTATTATTTTTTTTATGAAAGCTTACGATATTTGCAAAAAACCAGTTGAGCCTGATTTCTGAACTTTTATTTGATTATATTAAATTTTTTAGTAGCAGATAAAGTAGCAATGTTAAAGAAAATGTATTCTTCTGTTCCAGTTAATAATTGTTACATAAAAAAAAACTAGTTGAAGACAATTGTATGGTTCTCCCAAAACAAAAAAAAATACACAAAAAAATTTTGAAATTTTGGTAGAAAAGGATGGCGAAGTCATGGTAAATATTTGATTTAAATTACGATATGGGTAAGGTACTTTTTTTATCATACAAGTTGTATGTACGTATTCCCAAATCATTTTGAAAAAAAATTTCCTTTGTTTTATTACAACGCTTTTATCAACTTAATATAGCAAAGGTATTTATGGCAAACCTAGTCTAGATATCAACCTCGTCGTAGGTATCATATCAAAGACATACAATTAGAAAAACTCTAGAGATAGATGTCGCCTCGCCAGAAGAAGTTAAAAATATGCACTACATACGGTACAGCGGAAATGGACGACACGCCATTTCTTTAAATGAAATTAATTGCTGCTATATGGACTGTATGTACATATTTATGTACATATGTAGGCATATACTAAACATTTCGCTTGCATAGTCTTTTGTTCTCTTTTCACACAAGTTGAATTATTTTAGTATCTATTGCAAAACTTTATACAGACAATACTAAAAGGTAGAAAATAAATTTAAAAAAACTTTTTAATGTACCACGCTTTTATAAATGGACTGAAATTAGAAAATAATATTTCTCAGTCCCATAGAACTTGTTTTGATAACTTTTGATTTTGAAATTGTAGCAAAAGTCATTATAAAAAATTTATGAGATTGAAAATGAGAAGCGTGGGGCGCATGTAATAGGCCTGATTTGAAATTGAAGAGTAATATATGTATGTATGTGGGTATGTGGGTATATTAATAACGACCGCTTAAAATCGATCTCAAATTTGTACTTTCGCTGGTGGCATTTGTCGTCAAATAAGTGAAAACACATTGTCGAATGGGATTAAAAGGCTGTTTATTGATGGATTTGGATCCGGATAGGTCTTTAGTCGTGCACATGCGCTACTAAATCGGCTATATATATCTGTTTTTGGCCTATAATATCACCAGTCAAGGATAATATAGTCAAAGATTCAAAGTAAAGTTCTCGTTTCGGAGAACGAAAAATGACACTGAAGATGGCACAACGCCGAAACCGGTTTGTCTCCAAACCAAATTTGACAAGGGATGACGGAAATTCGTTCCAAAATACATCATACACCCGGAAACAACAACAACCGAAAAGGAAATACAAATTTTTTATATAATGAAACTAGTTCATAGTTTTTCTCTTTTTAGTTGTAATATAAACATTTCTAAAATAAATGTATTTTTTGATTGTTCTTCTTATTTTCTGCCTTTTTCGCTATTTTGTTTTTTGCAATACCTGGTGCCTTTTCCTGCCTTTTTCGCTATTTTATTTTGCCTTTTTTATAGGTTTTTAGGTCCTAAAAATCCGCTCCCTGATAATGACTTTTGCTTAAATTTCAAAATCAAAAGTTATCAAAACAAATTCTATGGGACTGAGATATATTATTTTTTACAACGCTTTTATCAACTTGCAATGTGGTATGTCCAGACCACTTTGA